TAGTGGTAAGAATTTCTTTCTGAAACTGGGCAACACCTTCAGGCCCTTCAGGCCCTTCCAGAGACACACGGGGCATAACCAAGGGGCTAAAAATGCCAACAGCAAGGCAGGCTTGGGCCAAACCACCTGCCACGAATACGGGCAAAGGCATCTGCCCACACAACCTCTGGGCACAGAGGGTGAGGGCTGTTTGCTCCATCCACACTGTGGACCCAGAGATCCACTTTTCCAAACCCTAAGTGTTCTGTCTAGAACAAGTGTCTGAGCACACTCACATTATCAATGAGGTAAAGGGGGTCCTGGGTTCTTCCTTTTCCCCCAAATGCCCCCTGCCATGGCACTTTCCACATTGCAGAAACAGTGTGGAAATAGCCGTGGTGTCCAGCCCATGCCCTGCCTCCCTCTCCCTCCCTCCCAGCCTTCCAGACCTTTGGAGTTTTCTCTGCCTTCTTCCCATGGCCCTCTCCTTTCTGTCCCATGTGCCCCATCTCATCCCTGTGTTATAAAAGTGTGATAATGCTTCTTTCCTCTCTCTCCCTCCCTCCTTCCCTCTCTTTTTTTTTTTTTTTTTTTTTGAGATGGGGTCTCCCTTTGTTGCCCAGGCTGGAGTGCAGTGGCACAATCCTGGCTCACTGCAACCTCCACCTCCCAGGTTCAAGTGATCCTCCCACCTCAGCCTCCCAAAACGCTGGGATTAGACAGTGACCCTCCGTGCCCAGCCCTCTGTTTCTTTCATCTCTGTTCTCAGGCAACTCTCATTTCAAAGTGCTCAGTAAATCCAGAATCAGTGAATGAATGCATGAAAGGAACCTCACAGACTTGGGGAGAGTTGTTTTTTCGGAAGTCTTAAGGCATCACAGAGGGAGAGAGCCAAGCACAGGGTGCAAAGTCCAAGCCAAGCACCGCTAGCTGCCTTTACCCACCACCCCCCCTGCCACTGGAAGGGCCCCACTGCCTGCCTGAGGACACGCAGGCCCCCGCCTGTGGCAACCGTGCCCCCTTTTTAAAATTACTTTATTTATTGAGACGAAGTCTCACTCTGTAGCCCAGGCTGCAGTGCAGAGGCACGATCTCGGCTCACTGCAACCTCTGCCTCCCAGGTTCAAGAGATTCTCCTGCCTCAGCCTTCTGCGTAGCTGGGACTAGCTCTGGCCACCACGTCCGGCTAATTTTTGTATTTTTTGTATTTTAGTAGAGATGGGGTTTCACCATATTGGCCAGGCTGGTCTGGAACTCCTGACCTCGTGATCAGCCCGCCTTGGCCTCCCAAAGTGCTCGTGTCCCTCCTTTATCTCCTGTCCTTCTATCCAGGGACAGGCCTTCCGCGTCCAGGACCCAGCTCCAGCCCAGCCTGGATCTTGCCACGCCGGCGGTCTGGGAAGAGAAACGAGGTAGTCAGAAGTTTCCACGTGGGGGCGCTGGTGGGGCGCGGGAAAGACTGAAGCAGACTCCCCCTCCCCACTCCCCGTGCGTGGTCGGTGAAGGAACACAGATGGTCAATCTTCGGCTGCCCTCTGCCCGCCCCCAGGGTCCCCACCAAGCAGTCATGACCCCCACCGAGCCCCCTCCGTTCTGCCTCGCCTCTCGGCCCCTGCCAAGCCCCACCCTCGGGTTCGCCCTCCTCAGTTAAGATGAAAGAGCCCGCGAGCGGCAGATAGGTCTAGGTTCGAATCTCGCCTCTGCCCCTTAGCGACTGGCGGCCTTCTCCCAGGGCCGGCCTGTAAAATGGGCCCACCACGCACCGACTTTGGCCGGAGGAGGCGTTCAGGAAACGTCAGCTTCCTGCCCGCATCCGCCCTCATCTCGCGTTTCTCACTTCTCTGTTCTCCCTCTGCTTTTCCCCCCTCCCCCTTTGGTTTTGTTTTAAGTCCCTCCCTCCCTCCCGCTCCCTTTCTCTTCTCGGCTCCGCAATGTTAGCCAAACCGCAGCGTTTAGCAATCCTGCGCCCACCCGGCGCCCGGGGAGCCTTACCGCGGCCGCGACTCGCCCCCGGCCCGGCTCCCGAGGGGGCGCCACCGCCGCGACGTGCCCCGCCCCCACGGGTCGCATGCCGCCCCCAGCCCGGCTCACCTGGGGGTCGCACCCCGACTCGCGCTCGGCCCTGCCCCAGCCCACCGGGCATCTGCCGGGTCCCTCCTCTGGCGGCAGCACCGCAGCCCACCCGCCGCCCGGGACACCGGGCGGAGCTAGACGCACCGGCCACGGCCGTGCCCGGGTGGCCGAGGGCACCGGGGGGGCGGCGGGTTCGGTCGCCAGGACTGCCAGCGCCAGCCTGACCGCAGCCCGAGGGTGACGCTGTAAATAGCCGCGGTTTCCAGCCAGTGCCCTGCCTCCCTCCCAGCCTTCCGGACCTTTTGGGTTTTCTCTGCCTTCTTCCCGTCGCCCTCTCCTTTCTGCCCCGCGTCCCCCGCCTCGTCCCTGCTGTGCGCCCACCACATCCTGCCCCATGCAGGATGGCTCTGGCACTGGCGAGGTCACAGAGCTGGAGAGGGGGCCAGGAGACCAGCGCTCCTTCGAGGGAATAAAATAATAATAATCACAGCAATTAAGTTAGGGTTAACTGAGTACGTGCTATGTGCCAGGGACTCTGCTGAGTGCTTTACAGGCAGGATTCATGAAATCTTTGCTACACTTTAGGAGGACCAGCTTCCATTTGCAGATGGAGAAACTGAGGCTCAGACTCAGTAGGGACTAAGGTCACCCCATCTGCATCTGCAGAATGGAAGGCCATTGCCCCTGTCCAGAGGCCCAGGCTGTGATTCTGCCTGAAGCCTAGTGGGTAAGGCTCCAGCTGAAAGAGGGAAGGGGCTGGCTGGAGGTCCAGGAAGCTAGTCTGCCAATGAATTCTCAGTGTATCCTAGAGCAAGCCCAGCCTGCCTCAGTTTCCACACCTGTGAAACCAAGGGGATGAAAGGCAACATTCTGTTCCTCTAAAGAACTGTTAATGACAGTGGAAAACCCCAAATGGAGTGTGAGGCGTTAGGCACCCTGTGCTTGGGGAAGCTCAGTGGGAGGCTGGGGGACTGCCTCCCTGCAGAGTTGAGACCAACCCACCAGCCACGACTGGCTGCCTGGGAATTAGGCTAAGCTGGGGAAGCTGCATTTTAGCAAATTTGGGGATTCTGAAGCCATCCAGTTTAGAACCCACCGAAAAGATTCCTGGAAGTGGGTGGGGTAGGATGATGGGGGTCCTCCCTCAAATATTCCATACTTGCCCTTATTCATCTCTGCCTTGGCTGGCCTGGACTCAGAGTGAGTGCAGGTTTATTAAGAACCTGCTGAGCCAGGTGCAGTGGCTCACGCCTGTAATCCCAGAACTTTGGGAGGCGAAGGTGGGCGGATCACAAGGTCAGGAGTTCAAGATCAGCCTGACCAATATGGTGAAACCCCGTCTCTCCAAAAAAAAAAAAAAAAAAAGAAAGAAAAATTAGCTGGGCGTGGTGGCAGGTGCCTGTAGTCCCAGCTACTCGGGAGGCTAATGCAGGATAATTGCTTGAATCCGGGAGGCAGAAGTTGTAGTGAGCTGAGATCACGCCACTGCACTCCAGCCTGGGCAGCAGAGCAAGACTCCTTATAAAAAAAAGAAAGAACCTACTGTATGCCAAGCACACATCTATCATAGCCCCACTCTGAGAGACCCTGGCATAATCAACAACCATATGGCTGACTAGCAGAGGTGCCCTCAGCCCAGCTGTCCCTTGAGAACTGGAGCCAAGCTGTTTCTTCCAGGGGTGAACAGCCCCAAGCTAGGCTGTGCAGATCAGTGAGCAGAGCAAGGGTTGCATTTCACCTCCACTGGCCCCCTCGGCAGCCGGCCTTGTGCAGGACACAACCAGCACAACCTCGCACAGCAGCCGGTGGGGAGCCATAGAGATCCAAGTAGGAGATGTTGGCAGAGTCAATTACTTGTTGCTGGAGACCGGAAGAGACAGAAGAATTCTATGGAAAAGATGAATATTGG